TTTTTCGGTAGTTTTTTAATTTCTGTTGAAAATGGTGACCATTATCAAAAATTAGTTCACAAAATATATGTAGATCATTATAATATCTACAAAAATGTTCGATCTGGTGGAAAAATGGAAAATCTATTGGACATTATTCATTATTAGAAACATTATTCAAAGTCGAAGGTCAAAATTTTCGGGTTTTTCGGTAATTTTTTTAATTTTTGTCGAAAATGGTGACCATCATCAAAAAATAGTTCACAAAATATATGTAGATCATTATAATATCTACAAAAATGTTGGATATGGTGGAAAAATGGAAAATATATTGGACATTATTCATTATTAGAAACATTATTCAAAGTCGAAGGTCAAAATTTTCGGGTTTTTCGGTAGTTTTTTAATTTCTGTTGAAAATGGTGACCATCATCAAAAAATAGTTCACAAAATATATGTAGATCATTATAATATCTACAAAAATGGTGGATCTGGTGGAAAAATGGAAAAACTATTGGACAAAAACTCTATCAGTCCGGTAGTGAAAAATGAAATATGAGACTTGCTTACGGTGTGTTTGTCACAGAATTACTTCCAATTCAATGAAACGTTCCACTCGTCCTGCAAAGGTCTCATAATGGGAAACCCACTTAGTCCAACCAACAACTTAGGCATACACATTAAGAATAACAAAGATAAAAGTTCAGTTTCAGAAAAATCAGGAATGTATAAATTATCGTGTGGGTCATATCCGATGTTTTATATTGGTCAAACTGGAATAACGTTCAAAGCCCGCATGAAGGAACACAAATATAGTTTTCAGAATGGAAAAATGAATTCCACATATGCCAGTCATTTAATCTCAGAGGGACATGAGTTCAACCATGAATACAATAAATAGAAAATCATATAAAAGCCCAAGATTCTTTTAAAGGTGTAGAAATAACGGTAAAAGAACTTCCCACAGAAGAGAGTCAGAACAAATGTTTCATGTTCGGGATTGATTATGAATTCAAAGATAGTATTTACAACCCTGCAGTATGGCCCAAAAGGATTTTCAATAAAAAAATCAAATATTGAAGAAAGTTCTTCATAGCTTAAACACAATTTTAGAGATGTTGATGTTATGCATCAAAACATGTAATCCATAGGAAACAGTGTGGAGAAAATATAACATTTTTTGGCGAACAATAGTGACTGCCATTTTTTATGTAATACTGTGCATTGGAATTCAACTACTCTACTGAAATGTATAAGAATAGAAAAATTCAATCTAGCAGCATCCTTTTATAGAACAGAAAACAAACATGGGGGAAGTGCTATATATTGTAAAAATGGGATAAACTATGAAAGTTTAGAGGATATATATAAACTGTCAGTTGAAGGAAATTTCGAATGTTCAGGTATTGAGGTTCCCCTTTCTGATAAAAAAATGATAGTTGTATCTTCATATAGACCTTGTGAAGGTTCAATGACTATATTTCTTGATAAATTTGAATATTTGTTAACGAAAGTCGCAAGTGATAATAAATTAGTCTTTATAGCAGGTGATTACAACATTGAACTGAAAGTAATTTTTATGGAAAATCAAAACTATCAGCTCTAGCTAGCTCCTTTGATGTGTATAAAGTTATTGATGAATATACAAGCATAACAAAAAAATCCAAAAGTTGCATTGATAATATCTTTACAAACTGGCTGACATTACAAAAGTAATTGAGACTCATACTTCAGATCATACAGCCCAAATGAATACATGTGAACTCAATCTGCGAAACTCAATGAAAGGTACCCACAAAAGATGTTTCACAGAGGAAGCCATAAAAAAAATTGGTCGAAAAACTAAATAATGAGGATTGTGCAGAGGTCTATGAAATACAACATGAACAAGAAAACAAACAATGGGTGATGTTCATCAATAATTTTATAATTATTTTCATCGAATGTTTTCCAATCAAATACATAAATTTTCGTAAAAACAAAAATTGTTACACGAATTCTCAAATTAAGGAATGCAAAAGTAGGTTAGATACATTATTATGTCTATCCAAAACGATTGGAACTATCAAATATGAATACTTGAAAACAAAAACTTAGTATGATAAATTGTTAATATCGTCAAAACAGGAAAATTATAAAGAGCCTATAAAAAATTCTGATGACAAAACAAAATGTATGTGGAATACCTGCAACGAAATTACCGGCAAAGTAAAGAGGCAAAGCTGTGGCATACAGGGTGATCCAATCGATATATCGAATGAATATAATGATTATTTCAGCAAAATATCCTCGAAATTAGTTGAGAATAATAATGAACATTTTACTTGTGAAATAATGGAAAACCCTCAGTCGATGTGTATACAACCAATAACTCCAATGATGTGGTTGCAATGTCAAATAATTTGAAGAACAAATATTCAAGTGAAGAAGATGAAATTCTAACTTGTTTGATAAAAAAATGCACAATGGTAATTGAATATATTTTGTATATACGCCTTGTAAACTATCTAAAAGCAGAGGAAAACCAAATGATATATCATTTTTCAATAATTCCTTTCAGTTATCGCTTGACACCAAGTTTTCAGGTGTTTACATTGATGAATGGCTGAACTGGTCACAACATATAAAGGAAATCTCTTCGAAGCTTGGAAAAGTGTCCTATGGACTGAGAATAATCAGTAAACATCAAGAAAAGCAAGCAGCTTTATCTCTTTACTTTGCAAATTTTGAATCTGTCATGAGATACGGAATCATTTTTTGGGGATCCAACAAGAATACAAATAGAATATTTGTTATACAAAAAAAGAGTAATTAGAATAATCAATTACAAACATTATAAGAACTTTGTCGAACAGATTTTAAGAATAATAACATCATGACTGTATATGCTCTGTATATGTTTGATGTATTTGTTTAAAAATAGAGAACTTTCTGAACTAAATGCTACAGAACAAGAATATAATACTAGGAGGCATGACCTCATTTATCCATATCATACATTGAGACTTACTGAAAAATCTCTAAAATGTCTAAAAATTACCAGTAATTCTTAGACATTCTGCTAGTAACAATCAATTTGAAAAAAACATCAAAAAGATACTTGTAAATCTAGAACCCTATTGTGTTGAGGATTTTTTTACACATCAGTTTTGAAATATAATTGTGTGTGATGTCATTTTATTACATGTAATAATTTTTTATACAAATAATGGTGGCATTTTCCAAAATGAACATTATTATTATTATTAGGTCGACGATGGCCACTATCTTGCACTAATGAGTGGCTAATGAGCCCGAAACCGGTCTGCAAGTGTGTCAGTTCCAAAATTGAAGGTCGACTCTTTCAGTTGTATTGCCAATTGCATATGTAGGAAATCATCTGAGAAAATTCCTGCACTGACGCCTGTCGAATATGATCCAACGCCCTTCGTGGTATTAGCCAGGGGAGTAGTTGTTTTCTGATAGACGTCAATCCATTCAACCTACCGTGTAGGTATATTCGAGACTGACTTGAACATTTAAAGTTTCTTTAGATTCTCTAAAAACTTTATCTGCTTATCCAAAAGGTCAAAACCATATTTTATTTTCAAATGCTATAACTGGCTGTGAAACTACATCAGCAAAGTTCAGAAGGCGTGAAACATCCATATTGAAATTATTTGAAGAAATGGATTCAAGTCATTTGAAGAAATTGATTTTTCTCGTCAAACAACAATTGAAAGAGAAGATCGCTTTCTCATTGGTGTTTACAGAGCTCCAAAAATTAATAATAATGACAAGTATAGATATTTACATTTTGTATAAAAAACGGAATAAGAAACAATAACAACTATCTTGTCTTCTTCCAACATCAGCTATTTTAGGCAACCAACTGTACTAAACCACGAAGATGGGTTGGAAATTAACAGTTAATACTTTAGAACCCATTCAAACTATACTCTTACCAGCTCCAAAAGTTATACTGCTGAATGTGGCTGTAGAAGAGTAGGCTTGTTGTGTTGCCAAAGCTATTCTTCCTTGAATATTCTATTGAATTCAATAGATGGGGATTGATGTGATATCAATGAATAGACAGAAAATTCATCTTCGTTTTAACAATTCATGAATATCCATCAAGAGCAGAAATAAAAACAAATCGAAGGAAACATGGCCGTTGCAGTTGAATTTGAAGAGTATGGAACAGATTGAAATTTTAACAAAACTAAGAATTACAGTTCAAATCGATCATCTATATCAATATCAGATCAATAATCATGCAGTTAATACAGTATTTCCTCATAAAACTCCATCATGACAGATCGTGGAGTAGGCCTACCGAGAGGAAACCACAAATGAAACACGCCTCAAGTTCACTACCTCACGGGTGCTGTAGAAATATTTGCATATCATGCAGAAAGACATTCCCCCAACCTTCAGATTATAGAAATATCTTGGGACTGGCGATTCTTAGAAAAAAACGTATATGGTCGGTCCAATTTTATAGATAACTGAATGGCTCCAGCTATGATGATAATTATAGAATTTTCAAAATGGATTTCATTTGAACCATGTTTCGCAACATGGTGGCTTCATAAATTTCTGGAACATGAGTTACTTCATCAGTGAGTTTTCATCAAGAAACAGGTCAGAATATGCACAATTGGATAGTCTACAATTTTTGTCTGTGCTATATTTATCATAACGTTTACTGTTTATCAAAAAACTATCAACAAACCGAAAATTTTGACCTTTTACCTTGACTAATTTTTTCAAACACACATGATATTTATAGAGACGTTTGGCCTTTCATTTTTACTACTGTACACAAATTCTCCATTGAAATTCAGTTCTGTCGCAATTTTTGTTATTTGAAATGTCTATTTTGACTGGACAATAAAGGGTCTCTGGTTTGGTCTTATATATTCAACATCTTTTTTTGAGATGAAAATAACTAACTTGAAACATCATTCATCACTTCAACAATGAACTGTTTCATCTGCCTGAAAACTATTCAGGAGATTATTAAAAATAAATAAAACCAATATTAATAAAAACGTTTACTGATATTTGTTACATACAATTACCACAGATAAAATTGTAACAACAATTGAACAAATTTCATAAATACTTGCCGAGATTGATCAGATAAAGCTAATATTTCATGGACATATGAAGTCGGACTTCTACATAATAGGGAATACTTTCATTTCAGTTTACATAGTATCAACACTCAAGTCTTAATATCTATCAATATGAAGTATATTAACTGTTGTTCTATCCTAGCTTCTGAGAGAAATCTAGCACAAGCTAACTTCTATAAATCGGCACATGCAAAACGTCTAGAACATCTAATACCAATAATCAGAACGTTCGTGTGTCTACACATGATTCCGATAACTTAAACTTGTACTCATTTCACATGAGATTGCTTGAGCAAAATGTTGAAAAAAATCACGTTAACAGGGAAAGAGAAAAATTGAGAATTGTGTATTTTCTCAGTCATCAGTCTAAAATATATTTCTCTATGTTGTACGCTGATTACTAAAAAAGTTTGCTAAAAGTCCTATAAAATTAGGATCGAAAGCAGCATCTTTCAAAGAATACTGTGCAAGTGAGGCACTAAACCTCTTCATGGGGTCGGTTTCTTTGGTGAAAGTCGCACTTGAAGCTCTTGGAGTATTTGGAGTACTAGTGTCTTCTAACAATTGTTTAAAAATTTCCTCATCTTTTTTTTTCTCTTCGTTTTCCTCCTCTGTATCTTCATCTCTTTCATCATAATTTTGTATGTTTTCTCTTTTAACAATTTTCAAATGAGTATCAGGCGAATTATCTGCTCTTTCGGAATTACTCTGGGGAGAAACACTTTTTTCTATTATTGGTTTATTGAGAATCGTAGTATCTAGTATCTCAACATCTGTAGTTTTTACACCAGTCGGTTTCTTACTTTCGTTGACATTATCGATCATTTGGACATCGTGGGGGGTTGTTTTTTCAATACGGCTTTCATCAGGTTTTTCTTTGATTCCCACCATGTCATCTGCTTCAGTTTGATTTTTATCACCTTCAACGCTGGCATTCTCGTCGGACAAAATAGGAGAATGACTATCTTTTGATGTAGTAGACTCATCACTGTCATTGTCTATTTCCTCCAAACTCTCCATTGATCCCGCATTTTTCACTGGAACTGATTCGACGAGAGTTACCTTTTCAGTTTCATTCGTCAGTATGTCAATGACCTTTTCAGTGACAGCTGGAGAATTCTCGGTACTGAGAAGCACATCGTCACTGTTCCCAGTGTCTTCATAGTCAGTAGGTGCTGGTTGGTTAAGGAACTCTTCAGGTAAATATGCTTTCAGATTCACTAGAGTTTCTGTATTTGACTTCAGCCATTCCTTGTGTGTAATATTTTTTGGCACAGTCTTATTGCTTAGAATATCGAGAATATCTGGAATTATTTTTGTGTTAGGTTCCAGATAAGTGATGTTTTTATTGGTTTCTTTTTCCTCTATATCAAATCGTTGCAGTGCATCATCCATGTTGGAGACCAATATCTCCCGCAACGGAGGATACTCCGGATTGGTTTCAATAATCGTTTCGTGAGTTTCATTCAAAATAGGAGTTGAATAATAAGGTTTACTAGGTAGGTCAGTCACTGTTATTTTCCAACGTTCAGTGTATACTTCGGTAGATGAATTATCATGCGTTTTGAATGTTGTTACTGGTTGGGTATCTCCGGCTGTTATGTTATTTGATGAATTGTTGTGAAAAACAACGTCATTTGAAATCGCACTATTTGTTTCTGTTATTATTCCGCTTTCTGTTGTACCAGTGGATTCTGTCAATGAAAACAATTCTGTCGTTGTAGGATCATTTTTGCGTTTAACCAAGGACAGAATATGTTCAGATTCAGCTGTATTCAAAACGAGTAGTGAATCTAAATATTCACCATCTGCTGATTCCAAAGTTTTCTTACTGCTAGCTTGATGAGGATTAAATTCCATAGTATCAATCTTTGTTTCGTGAACCTCCCCGCTCTCTTCGAAACCTCGTTGCAATCCTTCAGCACCTATTAATGTTATTACAGAAGTGGGTGTACTAGTGTCTTTTTCTGGGACGAATTCTCCTTTTTTGAGAAAAAGTAACTTGTCACCGATCCTCAAAACTGGCGGAGGCTGTTGAAATACCTCCGAAATTTCGCTAGATTCAGCATCTGAATCAGTTATTACCAAATCATTGGAGTTATTGGAGAAATCGTCCGCCTCTTCTATGAGTAATGTGCCTTGTGGTTCAGCGATGATTTTAGGGGGAGCAGTTATAGGTATTTCCTTACGTTCTGGTATGATCTCTTGTATTGTTATTTTTGAAGAGTCTCTTTGAAGATCCTCTACTTCTAATGAGGTGTAGCTTGGCGTAGACACTTCGTAATAATGTGTATCTGGTATTTTATTTTCATCGGGGATATCATCATCATGTGGAGGATTAGGATTAATCTGTGTAGAGTTTTGCAGACCAGTAACTATCCAAGGGTCGTCTTGGTCATATGGTTTCGATAAAATCATTTCAGTTGAATATGAAGATCTCTCCGGGATAGCCTCTGAAAATGAATGAATAATCAGTCACTTGTTGATCACAATTTTCATAGAAATTGATGAAAGAAATATTTATCTACTTGAGGGGTTGGATGAAAGAGATTAATTTATACGGTTTATTGATAATAAATATGATTACGTCCTTTTATACAGGGTGTTAATTAAGTATGTACCATAAATTCAACAGACGATTTTTTAGGTAATTTCAAGAGGAAATGTTCATATAAACATGGGTCCGCAAATCCTTCGTTCTCAAGATACAGGGTGTTAAAATAAAAATAAAAAAAAGTTATTCGTAAATATCTTAAATATCCTTTACCTAATTTTGTTGTAATTTGGCAATGGTATTTATAACATCAAGGAGCTAATTTAGTCGAAACGTGATTCAATTTATTGAGTCCAGTGGCGTCTCCGCTTTTTAATCTAATGTTGACAAATTAATTTGTAGGTAGTGGTTCCACTAGTTGATTACCGAAAAATCAATTAGGATAATCATCATTTAACAAACAAAGTCCGCATCGGACCGAAAAACTTTAGGTATATAAACAGCTAACACTTGTCTTTAGATTCAGTATCAATTTTCCTCTTCTGAAGATGCTAACCTTGTTAGCGAAATGCGCGTCGAGTGCAAAAATATCAGTTTGGTGTTAGGGTAATTGATCTTCAGAAAAAGTTTTCAAAAATCGGTTTGCAAAACCACTCACTACCTCACCTAACCCCACGAACCTAAAGAAATATTGTGAAACGGACAAAAAATTAGTATTCAGCTAGTCCAGCTAGCCGGGTCTTTACCGTTTAAAAAATCTGTTTAAAATCTGTTTTTCCGTTAACCAGCTGTCGCACCCCTGCGAACGACAACCCTCAGAAGTTGAAACTTGTGCGAGCTAAGGATTAACGAGGTCTTACCTTTCAACGTGTGATTCCTCAATTACATTTGATAGCACGTTTACTAACTATCTGGGCGACTAGGGGCCACATGCAAAAAATGTTTATGACTGTACCGTTCCAATTGATAATCGATAGACTATACGCGTGTGCTTGTATGTGAATGGGCGCGCGCGTGTCTGCGTATGTGTGTGTCTCTTTTGGAAATTGTTGATATCAAAATACCTTACTCTCAGTAAGCAATTATAAAATTTCACTTTTCGTAACTTCTAGTGGGCGTTCATTCTATAATTGAGTTTTGTCATGAAGATATTGAGAAATACATAAAATCAAACACTTCCTGAATAACCGGAGCATACAAAGCAAATTACTGATATTTTACGGTTATCCCTAGAGATCCATATAAAAAACTTGACAACTAGTTACACTACTAATCCAAAATATACGATCGTGACACAAGCGATAAACAAAGTTCAATGAAGACAAAGATAGTGATACTGAAGTTGTTGATACTAATGACAGCTAGTGACAATGTTGAGAAACAATATTTCATTCAAGCCGAAGAAAAATTCGAATATTAAAAATTTGAATAGGGAACAGCAGAACACAGTAGCATATATTCAAATCATGGGCACGGTTTTACACAGAACAACAAATATTATCTTCGATCATGGAGTATTACGACTGCGTAAAGTGTATTTACGTTGACTCAAGTAGTTTGGTGTGCTAATACTTGTACCTTGATGAGGTCAATTGTGTAAAGCGTGTATGGAATACCATTCCGAGAAGTTCAACAACGCCAAATAGCATGACAGCAGGTAAAAGAGGGTCGACGAATATTATTGATAATTTACACCAAACTACCTGAGTCAACATGAACACGCTTTATGCAATTTACCTAATCCAGGTACAAGTATTGACACAGTAAACTACCTAAGTCAACACAAATATGCTTTACGCAGCTGTAATAGTCAATCATTTCTTCTTCTATAACGTGATCAATACTTTCACTATTTTTTGGATTCGACATCTTTTTAAGGACTTCTCAAAGGGAATTAAGTTCACAATATAAAAGAGCAGATAATTGTATGTTTTTTTTTCGAAGTCACTTAATGATATTATGCATTTTTTCATTTTCATGCTAACTATGGAACTCCTCCAATACCACAAAAGTTTTTGCGCTTCAAAATCGTGCAATTAGAATTATATCAAACACAGGTTTCCGCGATTCATGCAGGCCATTTCCTCAGAAAACTAGACATTATGACGTTACTATCTATTTTCATATATTAGACACACTTGGAAATGCACAAGAATATTGATAGTTTTTCAACCAACTCCCAATGGGGAATGTTCCTCAATTTGGGTTATTACAGCAAATGCAGTTTTGAACAAAATGAAGTTGAGTTTAATTCATGAGTTTTTCAAATTCACTTCGAAAAGTATTCAAATTGATGTTTCAAATGTTGGGTTTTAATTTTTAAAGGGATTTGTTTCTAATTCACATATTGGCAACAGCGCCTATATCAAGTTGAAATAATTTATACGTACCTAGATATTCTACTTTAAAAAAGGAAAATTATCTTAATAAATCCACAATTGAGGTAAAATATAAATTATAGTTCAATACCACCTCCACAAGCCACATAAACAACTGTTGTTTAGTTATTTATTTATATAGAGGAAGATAGGTTAGGTGCACAAAATGTCATATGTTACAGAATGTCTCGGAACTCGGAACATTAGTGAACAGAACAGCACGCCTATGAAATATGTCATTTTTGTTTGTCTCATACGGGTAACACATTCATTGTCCTTTATTAGCTATAACCGATGTTGCCAAACGGTGAAATGGAAACGAATCCCTTCAAATGTTGAATGCATTATTTCATTCCTCTTTTTTAAGTATTTGAATAATTTTAATGAAAAAGGTTGAAATAATAATTTTAAAATGCGTTGTTTTAGAGCCCTTTTATGAAAACTACTCGATTTTCGTAAGGAGGGACATACCCCATTCCACAGGTTTAATACTCGTGGAACTGATCAGCGGTTCAATTTACGAAAATCCCCTAAGAACTCACTCGATATTGTATATTTTGTTCAATTATTTTTCTGTGCATTTTATTGTTTTTTAAAATATTTTTCTGTGCAGTTATACTGTCCATCTACATTCTGTACCACCGATTTACTACGAATGTACCTTTATATACAATAAACATCTATCCATCTATCTATCAGTCTGCAATTTGCCATGCATTAGTTGGTATTCTTTCAACTTTTCTGAAATGATAACTTGCATCATCCATCACAATCACAGAGTTAGGTAGAATGAGGTCTAACCTTTGCTCAAATTATTCTTCACACATCGCAGTTCATATTTTCAAACATCAATAAACTTCCCTCAACAAAACCACAAACATGCTAATTCATTTATTTCGTTCTCAGGTTGAAATGAACGATTTCAATTGTGACCTGAGTCTGCGAATCTTATGGAAAAAAACCGCATCGTATGTTTTGGTCGAAGGAACAGTGACTGGGTAGATTTTGGATAGATTGGATAAATGGAGCCTATTATGTATCGTTGTCAACGGATTCTGGACTCCATTCCAATTCGGCGGATTTCATTTTGGGTTATAGTATTATCTGGATATCGCTTTAATAATGGAGGATAAGTCTATGGTATATTAGCATTCAACGTTTCAGGGTTGCGTCAGAAAACCGCGACTCACTTTCAAATCGCATTCTCTCAGCTTCACTGAGAAACGCCCGTCAATCACAATTAAGGCCGCCGTTAGTTTTGGGGGCCCCCATGCAAAAATTCAGTTAGGAATACCACGACAAACAAGAGCCAAATAAAAACTTAAAACGTGAAGTTAGATAGGGAAATAAAAGCACCTAAAGGCTGGTTTCCAATATGGAATCGGCACGCATTGTTCAACTCCGACAAGAATATTTGAGGCGAATGAAAAGCTACCGAGAATCCAGCAGACATATAATCTACCTCGACGACACTTGGTTTGACACCCAGGATGTCAAATATGGCTGGGCAGACGAAACCAAGTATTATGCTTTGAACACACCTTCTTTAAGGTGAAAACGTGTTATAATTTTGCATGCCAGGAATGAAAGTGGTTTCGTACCTAACGCTTTGCTTCTGTCGCCTAAAAATATAAAAGATTCGTCTGCTGATTACTACGAAGATATGACTGCGGTTTTATTCGAAACCTGGTTCAGTGAGCAGTTTCCCCCAAATATTCCTTCAAACTCGGTTATTGTTATGGATAATGCTTCGTATCATTCTCGGTAATTGACTACAATACCAAACAATAACACAAAAAAGCAGATATTATTGATTTCATGCGAAATCATGACATGGAAATACCCGAAAAGATTCCAACCTGGCGACCATAAAACAACGTAATTTCAAAAAAGAGTATATTATTGATTCGATGTGTGAAACACGTGGTCATATTCTCTTACGTTTGCCTCTATACTATTGTGTGTTCAATTCAATTGAAATGGTTTGGATCACAATGAAAGAAAGCTTGCGGAAATGTAATCAGTCACCGACTTTGAATGCTGTGGTGCTTGACAATATAAGGCGAATGGTGAATGAAGTAGGTAAAAGTGATGTGTGGAAGAACGTGGCCCACGTTATAAAAGAAGAGAACAAATATTATGTGCAAAGTTCCATAAATCCGATCGTTATTCAACCCGATGATGATTCCACCTCATCCGAATATAGCGAAGAAGAATTTTGATTTTTCTAGCAATTTTGTTGGCCTCTATTATTTTGTAAATATACATTTGACGAGAATTCGGTGTGATTATTTGTGTTTTCATTGTATTTTAGAGTTTTCGACTCGGAAATCACCTTATATTTCGAAGTTTTTCATAATTACCATAACTTTTTCATGGGGTGATCAATTGCTATGATTGTAAGAATAAGTAACTGAAAAACTATCACTGAAAAATAACATGCCGACGCCTATGTCGAGGCGGGAATTCCTTCTCTGTGCTATTCAAATTGGTATCGGACATACTATAGTTTTCGAGTTAATAAAAGGGTTAGATACTATTTTTTTTCGAACTAGGACATAAGACAGCTGATGCGGGAATTAATGAAGTCTGACATCACGTGGAACGTCCCAATATGATTCGCCTAAGGACATAGTGATAAGTAACACCCAGTGGATGTTTCTTTATTTTTTTTGCCTAGTGCACGCATATAAGGAAAACACTTGCTGTGCATGAACAAGCCAAATATTTTTTTCTTAAAGCCTCATAGAATTTATATATACTTGTTCAGCTTGATTAAGTTTTACTAATAAGTAGGTGCGTTCTAATATGAAGACTGATTTATATATACATCATTCTGGAAGCGTTCTCTTGAGAGTTTTTCTTCGCCTTTATCTCTAAACTTTGTATAACTTGTATTATAATATATTTCCTGCTATTATAGAGACCTATTTATACCACTTACCTATTTTTTTAATTTCAACTAACCTATAGTTTGGCAAGTAAGCCAATGGTATTCAGTGATTTCAGCTTTGAGAGAGGTTATTGTTTCATTTTGTTGTACAGTTGGCGCCCTTTCATGCATTGTCTTGTCTAATAATAATAATAAGACCCACGCCCGACTCCACTGAGATATTAGTCGGTCCATACACCTAAACTGTTCTATCGCTTACTGAGAAAAGCCAAAAATCACTTATAACATCAACACTTCCGATGTGGGTGAAAATCAGTCTTTATCCTTTCTCAGAAGGCGACTTTAATATTTAATCTAAGCGCTTCAAAAATGCTTGGCGTGAACTTGTAATGTTTTTGTCTTGTCACATCATCTCATCTTTCTGCCTGTCTTCGGAAACATACTTTTGTCTTCTTTCAAGACTCCCATTATTTTTCTCATGGTCGATATGCCTTTCTTTAAATAAAATAAATTTACTATTCTTCTAGTAGGAGAAAGTTGGTAGTTTTCATCAATAGGTAGTTTTTCTTCCCCAAGATAGTTTTTGGTTTCTCTGATTCTTGAATTTATTCATCACATTTCCATCAGAGTATCAACGGTATGAATAAAAAAAAAGAATATTAATGATATTTTCGTCAACAGAGAAAGCACATTTGCTCATTCGTTTTATAGATCCCCATTTTCATGGATAACAAAATGTTCGGGCCAGTTACTAATTGTGAACTTCATCATCACAGTTTTAGATGTATTGAGTGTTAAGTGATTTTTTTCTGCCTATGTGTTTACTTGTTTATGTACATCCTGGGTTCTTTCCTGTAGGATCGTTACATCCATTTCCTTCACTATGAAATGTGTGTCATCTGCATACGCTACTGTGTGAATAGTTGACAATCCTTGAAAATATTTCATCTGGTCATTTGCATATATCAAAAATAGTTAGGTCCAAGGATTGATCCCTGTGGGACACCCTGCCTAATGGTTGCAAACTGACTGAGAGTGTTTCCAACACTGACACGTTGCCCTTTATTTTCCAGATAGGATTCCATTGAATCTAGGGCAACTACTCTTACACCATATCTTTTCAATTTCCCTAATAGCAGGTCATGATTAACGCAATCGAAAGCTCTGGAGAAGTCTATGAACAATCCGCAAATATGGAATTTACCATCAAGTGCATTAACCACATGCTCATTGAACTCATAAAGTGCTGTTTCTGTACTTTTGTTTTTTGTGAAACCGTGTTGGTTTTCTGAAAAAAGGTTATTAGTTGTGAAGAAAGACATCAATTTATTTTTTAAATTTAGTTCAAAAATCTTGGAAATACTTGAGAGTAAGCTAATTCCCCTGTAGTTTTCATAGAGGTTTCTATTCCCTTTTTTATAAATTGGTGTTACTTTTGCTAGTTTTAGACTATCCGGAAAAATTCCATTTTCAGTAGACAAGTTTATGATATACGTTATTGGGCTGCAAAGTTCATAAGAACATTTTTTCAATAAATTGTTTGATATCTCAATTCTATAATTTTGGGTTCCGTTAGGGGACGCAAAAACATTGATTTTTCGCATATTGAGATATAGCTATTCATGTAATCGAAGTCTACATTTCGCGGCTGTATGAAATTTGAGAACTTATTAATGAAGTATCTAATTGAAGCACTATTAGATCGGAAAGAATAATGACGTCATCTTTCCCAGCGAAAATTGAAAATATCTAAGGTATTCCTGATTTGAAAGGATTTGGAAAAGCTGAATACACTTATTTGAATTAATGAATCGAAGAGGTTTTGTATTAAAGTGTATAATATTTTGAAATTCTTGCAAAGCGCTTTCGACTTTCGTCATCATCAGTGCTTACCTGAAAGTAAGTGATCTGGTTGAAAAGGGGAATTTAGTGAAATTGAAGTTGTAAAATTTTTTTAAGGTTGAGAAATTTGGAAAAATTGTTTGAGATTACTTACTTGTCAGGCAACAGGAAGTATCAAGATAAGTGAATTGTACATTATATAATTCAAATATGACATATTGTATGGCACGAAGGCCTTCTGCACAAGTTAAACGCGTTCGACCTACCTCGGGGCCTGATCCGGTGGATCAGGTCTTTCCCGAAAGACAGAACTTTTCAGGTCAGAGTAGAGGGCTCTCTGTCTGACAACAGAGAGATCCTCGCTGGAGTGCCACAGAGGGCCGTGCTCTCTCCGATGCTGTACTCACTCTACACTAGCGACCTGCCCAGGTCCGAGCGAGTGAAGATATCCCTTTACGCCGATGACACGGCTCTTCTCTCATCTTCCATGGGTCGAGAGCTCGGCGTCGTCTACATGCAACGTGCATTGGACGACCTCGAGCGCTGGTACCTCGATTGGAAGATCCGAGTAAACCCGGAAAAGACTCAGGCGATAACCATGGGAAGATTACTATCTTCTCCGGCCAGAAAAGTGAGAATCTCTGGAAGGGAGATTGACTGGCAAGCGCGGGTAAAGTACCTCGGCCTTCTAATATACCGTAGGCTCACTTGGAACCCGCACATCATATGCGTGAAGTCTAAGATCGAGGGTCTGTACCCTCTGATCAACAGAAAATCAAAAATGAGCACGAAGAACAAAATCATGATTTACAACACGATGTTCAAGCCTGTCATCATGTATGCTTCAGGCGTCTGGGGACAAGCGGCTCCGTCCAATATTTCCATTCTGGAAAGGTTGCAAAATAAGTTAATTAGGATGATTGTGAATGCTCCTTGATTCGTGCGGAATGAAGCCATCCG